TAGGAGTCCACAGTGAACCCACATGTAGCAGGCCCAGAGCTGCACAGTGGCTATGGAAGGTAGTTTCATAGAATGGCATTAACCCCTGCCCTCACCTACCTGCTTAAAAGTCTGGGGTCTGGCCTATGTTAGTGTATTCCTGTAGGCAACACTCTACAGCTGGAGAGGTTTGATGCTCCTAGCTTCACTGGGGCATTTATCTGTACTGTGTAAAAGAAAGTATCCCTGAAAACCTAAATACAGAATATTTCAGAGGGATAGTCTCTGAAGATTTCAGGAGGTACCCTGGAAACCATGAAAAGCATCTAAAAAAGTGAGACTATAATCTCTAGACCTAAATTTCCTCCTGCTGGTTCAGTAGGATTCCCAAAAGAGCTTTGTTTTGGTGTAGCACTGTTCCCCTGCTGCAGCACTGCAAAGCTGATTAAACATAACTTTAAAACTGGCTCTGTAACTGATGCATTCGCCAGCTCAGAGCTGTCTTTAGCCTTGAATTTACAGGCAGAGAAAAGTTCTAGCCAAAAATCTGGTTGGAAATTTTTGTTGTGGTTTCTTTTTTTAACTTACTACCAAACATCAAGCTGGCTGTGGCTGCAGTTCTGATGAAACATTTGGGAACTGTATCAAAGTTCTTCAGTTTTGGTTGCAGTGATGATTAATGGGATTTTAATCTTGTTGGCATTTGCATCAGGTAGGAAGTGGGGAAAGCCCTTAAAATGCTCAATTGGCTTTAATACACCTAACATCTGTGGAAGTTTTTTTTCTAGTTATATATGTTCTCTGGCTGATTTCAGTGCTATAGGAATTCTTACTACCTCATCTTTAGTCTCCCCAGCAGCTGTCATTGGGCATTGCCTCTGAGACTTGGAGGCTCTCAGAGATGACTAAGCCAGGTGCATAAATATTATTTTATACTTATGTACAATACATTATATTGAAAACATTCTGCATTTTCATTAACTTGGAACAGAGATTTTGGGAAGTATCATCTGTTGGATGTAGTGTATGCATTTTTCTATACAGATTTTAAAAGTAACTATCACACATGCAGATTCCATGTGTGTGGTCAATGTTTTGTGAGTTGAACTGATATGTCAACCAACTGCTACCCACTCAACCCAGCAGAATTATCAGCCCCATCTCATCCCATAATACTAACCTCTACTGGGATTGGTGCATAACCTGAAGATTAAATACTGCTTTTCTATTGTGAGGAGTGAAGAGTCTAGTTTTTAAACCACGAGTTTTGTAAGTTGATGTGATGTTTAAGACAAAAAATTAATTTCAAAATATTTTTTGAGGTTCTGAGGTGAATGAAGAGCAATGCAAGAAGCATTTCTTTAGCCTAGTCATATAAATGGCCATTGGAATTTTCTTCCAAGCGTACACTCAGTTCATGTATTGGTTATGAGCCTGATTTAGAAAATCAGCTCTGCTCTGCAATCACTTCAGAAAATGTTGCACTTGCTTTTATTAAATATAGATAGGAACCCTTATGTCTGTTATAATCAGCTGAAACAAGAGCATGCTTAAAACTGTAGGGCTCTTAGCATGAAAATTTCACCAGTCTTAGACAAGAGAACCAAAGAAAACACATTTTCTTGTTTTCATGTACACCATGTAAGTAAAGGAAGTCAAGATATCTTTCCTTTTCTGTCTTAGCACAGCGTACTAGAATGGAATACTAGAATGGAATTGTAAAAACAGTGACTAATGTGTGTTATTTAACAAAACTAGAAATTCTGCCTGGCACTTGTTCCGAATCCCAAACATAGTGCTTTTGTTTCATAACCAATGGGACAGGGAAGAATACACTGGCTAAAACTGTCCACCAAATGCTGCATTTTATCTCATAGGTGTATGTTTACTCCATGAGATCCCTATCCTGAGGATCACAGTGTTTAGTTTAAAGACAGTGCATTTTTAATAACATTGTAGATCAAGCTACGCACAGATTTTGATTGTGGAAGAGTTAACTAACTTGATGTCCTGTAAAAATAAGACAAAAAACATCCCATCACTTTTAAATGAAAACTACTCCTCCAGGACAAGCCAAAAAAACTAATTGCATAGCATTTACTCTAGGGATCTGCTCTCTCAGGTACATGTTGGTTTTTAAGACTGAGTTTTATATGTCCCTCTCCACCTTCTTTCAAGGAAAGCAAGCAGGTTTTTGTCCTGGCAGGGAAGGTGTGTTCATCTTTCATCTCTGCCTGAAGGGATTAAAACTTACATCTTGTAATTCCTGGAAGAATGCTTTCTTCACCATCCTGGCTGTTTAGTGTTGAGAAGAGTCAGGCACTTCCCGGCATCCAGGGAAGAAGTCCAAGAACCTGTGAGCAGTCATGGCAAAGACTGCACCTATTCACTTTAGCAGCCTCAGGAGTCAAACTGAGGGTGGATAGAAGGCTTGGGGATTGTAGTTTTGACAATATTTATGCAGAGCAGGAGCTTGGTAGTGTATAGGCAGTTAACATCTAGATGGCTAGCTTAGATGGAGCCCTAAGAAAATATACTTAATAAAATATAGCCTGTTGGAATATTAAATTGCCATCCTAAACCTATCAGTGGGAATTTTAATTTAGTTCTATTGAAGTCATGGGAGCTATTATATCCTTGTGTAATTCAATGTAAACGAATCAGAATAGACCCTTGCCTCAGAGTCTGTATGCAGAAAAAGACAACAAACTCTTCATCTACCTCATATCTCAGCTAATGCTAATGTACTTTGAGTCTATGTTTATATTAGTAAATTTAAAAGGAGTATTCCTGAGCATTGGAATTCAACTGTTTATGACATTAACTTCTCCTTAGTGTGTTTTAGGGCAGTTCAAGCCATCCCATTCTCAGAGTTATGGTAGAGTTATCTCATAAAATGAATTCATGCAGTTTCTGCTAATGTCCACTGTCTTTTCAAAAGGAAGACAGCCATATTATTCAATAATTTGCTGGTTGTTCCTTGACAGCTGGTCTCCATGCCAGATGTAACAGGCATGCCTGGGGACATCTAAGATAGTAGAAAAAATGCAACAAAAGATTCCTGACTTGAATTGGTGTGTACTCAAAACATGGGCTGCTCCTTCCTTACACGATGGTGACCAACACTGGCATGGAAATTGTAGGTGTGAGGAAGGGGAGTCTCCGTCCATGTGTTTAACTGAAATTCTCTTTTAGTTCTGCAGTTGTATCTACCTTTTCCCAAAGAGATTACTTTGGCTGAAGGAATAGTTGCAGTGTAATCTTGGGAACAGATCACCAGGCTCTATTCTCCCTGCCTCGTTTTCCATCTTCCCTGTCTCCAATTGGTGACCTCAATGTGTCAATATTTGGAATGACTAACATGTAAATACAGCCATACCAAGTTATGTCATGCAAAGGGACATTCTTTCTCACTGTGGAACTGATTGTTCGATTTCTTTTTTCCCCTGAGTCTTAAGGTGACTGGAAACAAACCATGAAGCCAAGATGAGGAAGCCTGGAAACCTGACAAAGCAGTCTTGCTCAGTCTTGCCTCTGCGTTTCTTTCTTCATCGTGTGGTGTGTATTTTTTTAAATGTTTTTGTACCTTCACTGTGACAGCACAGGCTGAGATTTTTGTGCTTAGAGACATGTGTCATTCATGTATTGGTTTTGAAGACAAATCGATTAAAATGATGAGTTACTCGGGGAGCCCGGCAGTACGGAGCCCCGGGAGGTGAATCAGTGCCCGGCGCCTCTGTGGGCCGGGCCGCCCTCACGGCCGCCCTCACGGCCGCGGGGCGCGGGGCGCTCAGCGCCGCCTGGCGGCGGGCGGCGGCAGCGCCGGGCGCGCGCGGGGCAGCGGCCGCCGGGGGTCGCTGTTCCCGCTGCGCGCGGCCCCGGGGAGGCGCCCGCGGGGGTCGGGGAGCGCGCCCGGCACGAAGGGAGCTCCGCGTCCGCGGCTGCCGAGGGACAGGTTCATCCACACGGGAGAGTAAACACCCGGAGTTCCGCCGGATCGGGTTTCAGCCTCCCCCTGCCGCGCCCCGAGGGGCTACGCGGGAAGGGCGGCAGCCTGTGTGTGCTCTAGGGAAGGGCGCTCGTTGGAGGGGGCTCGGCGCTCTCCGCAGCCTGCCCCGCGCTTCCAGTGCCCTTCGCTCACGCTGTCACCTCTGCCGAGGGCAGCTGCGGGAGCGGACAGGGCACTGCCTTCGTCGTCGTCCTTCTCTTCCTCCTCCTCCTCTCCCGGCCCCGCTGGGAGCGCTTCCAGGCAGCGGCGCGCCGGGAGCCCAGGAAGCCGCCTCGCCACCCGGGACCGGCCGTGCCAAGAATCGGCGAAAGAGGCGGCACGCCCGCGCCCTCCCTCTCCCCAGACCCACTCCAGCCGCCTCTCCGCGGGCTTCCCGGCCGGCGGGAGCAGAAATAGCCTTCCCCTTCCCCGGCAGCTCGCCCCCGCCCCAACACCTCCCCTTCCCCGCCGCAGCCGGGCCCGGAGTTCCCGGTAAACAGGCGGCTTCCCCGCCCGCCCCCCGCGGGGCTGCGGCCGCGGGCCGGGGACCCGCCTGACGAGAGCTGCGCCAGGGACATCAATATTTCAGTGGCTCCTCAGCGCGGTTCTAATTAAAGGCTCGGGCGATGCGCGCCCCCCCCGTCCCCATCTTCCCGCCGCCCCCTCCCACTCCAAACACACACACTTGGGACCGTCTCCTTACGTCGGAGAGCAGAGAAGGAGTGACTGAGCCCTGCCCGGGAGAACCGAGCAGGGGGAGGGACGGGGGGGACCGGGGCGGGAGGGGAGAGAGGGCGGGAAGGGGGGGGCTTGTGCAAGCAGCGACGCTCCCGAGGTTGCCAAGTGGACTTTTATTGTTTTCCACCCACTTCCAAGTCGATACTATCTGCCGTCTCATGTCCATCCTATAGCCTATATAAGCGGCTGCGCTGGGGCTAGCGGCGATGGAGTAGTTTGTGGATACGGCGGGAGCGCAGGGACGGGAGGGGGGCGGGCGGGCCAGCCGCGGAATACTCGGACTCCCTGCCGTTCGCTGGCTGCTGCCGTCCGGGGAGCGGCTCCCGGGGGAAGACACCTCGGCGTCTGGGACAGAGACACAGGTAAAGCGGCCAGCGAGCGCCAGCAGCCTTCTTCCCCTCTTGCTTCCCTCCCCACGCCCCCATCCCTCCTGCCCCGCCGGGCCGAAGCGCTGCGTGCGGCGGGACCGGTGACAGCCGGACCCCGCCAGGGCTGGCGGGGCAGAGCCGCCGCACGGACCGACCGTGTGTGAGGGGCGGTCAGTTGTCCGAAGGCGAGCGGCTCTGGGCATGATGCTGGCCGTACTCCTGCAGAGTAGGGGAGCGGGGAAAGGGACAGAAAAGGGGGAGACTGGCAGTGCTGTCCCCTGCCCCGGCCGGCTGCCCCCCAGCCGCCCACCTCCCGTCCCGCCGCTCCTGCCCGCAGCCCGGCCGCGGAGGCCCACAGCGAGAGTGGGGACAGCTGTCGCGGGTGTCCGGCGGAAACTTCGGGGAAAGTTGTCGCCCCTCGCCCGTGCTCCTCCGCTCCGCGGCGGGGCGGGGAGAGGCGGGGCGGAACGTCCGTCCCGCCGGGGATCGGCTCCGCCGGGGCACCCCCAGCCTGGCCCCGCTCCGGGGCTGCGCCCCCGCCCGCCCGCGGGGCCCGGCGCCGGCTGCGGGGAGGCCGAGCCGCGCTGCCCGCGGCGCTGGGGGCTCTGCCCGCGGGCCGGGCGCTGAGGGGCGCGGGGGCAGCGGCCGAGCCCCGCGGACCCCCCGCCCCGCCCCGCCCCGCCAGCCCCTGCAGCCCCGAGCGGTCTGTGCCTCGCCTTGTGTAACCTGCCAAGCGGCCGCCGCTCTTTCCTCCGTTAGTGTTTCCGATTTCACCCCCACGAGTCTCCCCACTTTCGACCCACCCCCAATTTTCTCTTCCAGTGAAACAGGAGACCTCGCATAGCAGCGGATTCTTTCTCTTCATCCCCTCATGCACTCTTCAGGTCGGACTGCAATGAGTGGACTGAGGTCTTCTGGGCTGCTGGGGCTTGTACTCTTAATGCTCTCAGCAGGATACTGCAAAGAAAAAACAGACTCCACAGATTTGAAGGACAAGCAAAGTCTCTTAAATCTCATCATGGAGATCATTCAGGAACTGAAAAGGTACCACCTGGAGAAGGACAGTGGGGTGCAGTACTTCTCCAAGCATGACTATAACTTGGATCGAAGGGAAGTGGCCGACTATGGAGGGTACCAGGATGAGCAGAGAGTTGGTAAGTCACAGTCCATTTTTTTTCCCTAAGGTGCATCGGTGAATGAGATAGTGCATCAGGTTACTAATTTTGTGTTAAGTATTCACCACTTGAAATACGTGCAGATTCCATTTGGTATCAGAAACAGACACAGATGGCAAATTTGGAATAGAAAACCTCCATTCACCTCTCAGAGCCTTTTACTCTCTGGATAATGAACTCAACTAAAAGTCCAACTTCCTGTGGCTTTGAACAAAACCTAATAATATGGGAAAAGACTTAAATGGGGTGAGATCAAAGAAACAAGGGATGAAAACGCTTTTTTCCTGGAAGGTTACCACTTATTATCATGTGCTTGGTTTAAGTGTTTCTTGGAAATGACCCTGGCAAGGATTCTCCTGCAGGACTGTAGTATGTCCTTAAAGACCTTACACATACAAGTCTTCCCCGCAGCTCAGCTTCACTGAACTGAGTTGTTCACCCTGCTTGTTAGTTCCTTTTCTACTCCAGAGGTAGCACCTTTGAAATACCAGGGAACTGAGACAGTGCTCCTCTGTCACTGTGCAGGCTGTGACCAGTTTGGGATGCTCCTGCAGCCATCCTTCTGCTCGTTTGATTGGCTCCTCTCTAACCTGCTTAGTTTGCTGATGTACTTCTGTGCACTCAGTTGAAACTTGATTTAGTTCCTCCTGCTGCCATGTCTAATTTAGTGTTCCCTGTCACTCCCAAGCCTCTGCAGTGTCACTGCTGCTCATCTGACCCCTCCAACTGAAAGTGACTTTCTGAATATTTTCCAGCAAATATCTACTCAAGTTTTCCCAAACTGGCTTTCATTTTGATAGTATGCTGTTTATTTTGTCTTTATTGATATTTTAAAGCTTCATTGTACCTTTTTGCCATTCTCATTCATACTCAAATATCCTCATAATTTGCATTTATTGGTGGTTGTCATGAAGATGTTGCTTGTCTGTTGGGATGATTAATGAATGCACAGAGGAAGAGAGTTCTGTTCTCCATAAGGTCAACACAGGAGAGAACATTTTGTTTTACAAATGTTGAAGAGTCAAAGAGGCCAGATTAAGCAGGGAACTGTGATGTGCAGAACTCTAAATCTCATCTTGGAACACGGGCATAGTTTTGGTCACCCTGTTGGTGCAAAACATCTGGCTTGTGTAGAACACTTATCTACAAAATTAATAATTCTGCTTCAGAGCGGATTAGTTGGTAGTGTTGTTACTGATTTCGAAGCAGGATTTTTCATTCTGTTATTGTGGTGGAGTTTTTCCCAGCAACTCTGAAAAGGAACTACTAGTTAGAGTCTTTCATTTCAGTTTTGGCATCACTTTCCTAGTGAGCTTGTCCCATGGGAAGTTTCTGAGTGAAGCATGTGTGTTTTTAATGCTCTTCATGACATAATTAGGTCAAATAGGATAAGGTCAATTTTACTTACACGGACTAAAGTTAGAAGTAAACGAAGAATGACTTTCGAGAAGTGTCTAAATTCACAAGTGAATCAGATCTGGATGGAAATGCTCTCTGCTTTATATCTGATAAGAGGTGCCAGGGGAATGAAAAAGGCTGCTCAGGCATTCATGGTCAAGTAAATAAAGCACCATATAGTGTATCATACACAATCAGCACTAAGCCATCAGCACAGAGTTTGTAACAGAAAGCAATCAAAGATAGCTGTAAATCAGGAAGTCACAAGCAGGGGTTAGGGCTAAAATGGATTTCAGTAAACTAGTTTCATTTTGCCATCTGCTGAACACAAAACACAAGGCGGTAAACCACAAACATAGGGAGCCAGAAGAGAGCAATTTGCTTGGAATAATTTCCTGTGAATTTTATTTACTGCTGGGGGAGGGAGGGAAGATTCCTGTAAGTAGATCAATCCAGTTTCACGATTACAGTAGAGCAGTGCTTCTACAGACATACCTGGGACAGAATAGTGGTTACATTTGTATAAGAGAATTAGAAGACACAACCCCAGACTGGAATATATCGTTGAGTCTTTAACACTTGTGTAATATGAAAGAATTTAAATCTAGGTAAACTTCATAATGAAGTTCATAGAGAACTAAAATCTGACTCTTAGTTAATAGCCATCATCATTAATGATTTCTCACCTAACAGACATTGTTTCATCAGTGTTTCACAAAGCATTTTGCAAGGTCTCCCTATGTGAAGTGACTGTTTGCAATTTGGCCTACTGTATGCAAAGGACTTCTGCCCTCCATGCACCTGTCAAGACATACTGCTGATGTTGCTGGACAGAGTATTCCCTGTCTTCATACTATGCTTGGCAAGCATAGGTCCAGTGCAGCAGCAGAGTAACACTATTCTTTTTTCTGTCCCACAGAAATAGTTCCCAGAGATCTGAGGATGAAAGACAAGTTCTTGAAGCATTTAACAGGTATGTTTTAACTTTGCATTGGTATCCCTATTTCACATACATACTATAAACTACTCTGCTGTACTTGTGAGCTGTGCTGATTCATAACTTTTTTTTTTCTTTATCTTTCAGGTCCACTCTACTTCAGTCCAAAATGTAGCAAACACTTTCATCGGCTTTATCACAATACGAGGGATTGTACCATCCCAGCATGTAAGTAACAAAAGCAGGCACTTCCCTAAAATGAGAGGAAACTCTAAAATTTATCAGTTCTATCAAGTATCAGTAGTGATACAATATCAGAATGCATTCTCCACAAAGAAAAATTTGGACTGCTCTAAAATGTACTGAGTATTCTCTACAGCATTGCTAGAACAGCATCAGCATTACAGAGAGGAAAATGGAAATAAAACTTTCTCATTGCAAACACACTGTGTAGAATGGCTGTGAACACTGCATTCTTAGGTACTGATATATTTGCCTCATGGGTTCCAAACCATGTGTTTGCTTTTCCTCTCACAAATATCTCATATTTAATTTTTAGTGCTGTAAATTCAAGACAGGATCACAAATCCAGGTGGGGTTATTTTACTTTTCATTGATTATATATGTAGGACACATTTTATAGACATTTTCTATTTTGACTATTCAGCTATCAGTCTCCCAGTGATGTTGACAATGAATCTTTGCAACACTTGTCTTCAGTGAATTATAAAAGTATAACTTGTTAGCTTAGGAAAAAAAAATAGTGCTGATGGACACAAGTAAGCAAAAGCTACTTGTGATGCCTCATCACTGTTGGCAGCACAGAGAATTAAATAAAAATCAAACACTGACATTTATCAGTCAGTAGATGTGACTCCAGATTCATGCTGAGGTGGACCTGTTGAGTAAGCAGATGCTATTTTAGTACAGCCTTTTCAGAATGGAAGCACACTTTATTTTACTTGTCTGAGGTCAACCAGTTGGGTCAGTACCAGAGCTGGGAATAGAAACAAGAGTTACAGATTCCAAGTTTCTAGTATTAATAAATATTTCAGCCCAGTGCATTTTAAAGGCATATTTGGTAAGAATTGTGCACATTTTCTCTATTTGTAAGGCTTCAGATCAGGAATTCCTTGGAAACACAGGGATTTCTAGATGACAGGTAACCAGATCACCCTCTGTTTACATGAGTGAAGCTGTGAGTTGTTCATAACTTCTCTGTTCTGAACAAGCAATGGTCATTACCTTTTTCATAAGGATCTCAACACAAATGTCATTTGGCTCAGCACTAATGAGTGCTCCAAGCTGTGAAGCTAAAAACTAGCTGGCCTTAAAGGCTCTAAATTAGCCTTTTCCTCCTGACAGGTGACATACCCACTAACATAATGTCTGGATAATGGAGGGTCATTTGTATGAGTGGAAATTATACCATAACTATGCTGTGAGTTGGGGTTGTTAACATTTCATCTCCAGATGAAACATTAGATGTAGTTACCCATTAATGAAATAAAGCCTAAAAGAAGTGAACATCACCTACTGGGCTGGACTGACTAGCATATCTTTAAAGTAACCTTCTTCTAGGAAAATGAGACAAACAGCCTGCCTTAATTCTTCATGCACAGAACAATGTAACTTTTTGATAATATCCTGACTTCAAATTATACTGTTCCTTGTGTATAGAGATCTGAAGGCCAAACAGGAAAAAAGCGAAAAGTGTCTCTGATGCTGCAGTGTGGTGGTAGCTAGTACAAAAGCATTGTGTTGGCATACTTTCTAGTACTTTGTACAGTGTAGTAGCATTGGTACCTGAAAAATAATTTACTTTTCTGTCTGTCCATAACCAACTTTCAGAATATTTTCTTTCAGTTTTTTATGGAAATGAAACAAAAAACCTTTTGAGTAATTTCTTTAGTTTTGCATTGGTTCAGTGTCTTACTATGAATGCATCAAAAAGTTGAAGATACCTAAAATATGAATGACTAACAATAGGACTTCAGTGGAAAAAACATTTTTACTAGTTTTAAGATGAAACTTCATGCTCCTCTGAATGTCCATCATATGGTCATCTACTTGGGCTGGACTTAAGATTTGCATGAATAGAAGATGTTATTTGTCTAATTTAAGTGTTCCCAGGAAGAGAATCTGTTGGAGAGTGGCATTACTTAATATTAAGTTGACAGACTTGCTCATTGAAGGCTGGATTTAAAGGTGGATGAGCACTATTTATTCTTTCTCTAATATGGAAATACTAGAGTCACATGTTTAGATCCTGCACGGAAGCACAGGCACAGATGTATAAATTTTAATACATACATACATACATACATACATATACTTGGAGAGCCTCCAAGCACTTTCATGCTGTTTGTTTACAGATAGAACATGTGCAGAAGTCAGTTGCATAGTTGGACGTGCCATTAGACATGGCTTTTAGTTATTACCCAGTTTTTATACATTCCGCTTTTTAAGTCAAAACAGTTGATTTTTATTCTGTTGCAAACGAAGGTATTCATTGAAATTTGCTATGACACTAATTTGCACACTGAAAGCGATTTTGATTTTTAAAGGCAAATTTGATTACTTTGGTAATCTAGTGATGCTTTTTTTTTCATACAGACTATAAAAGATGTGCCAGGCTTCTTACTCGACTGGCAGTAAGCCCTATGTGCATGGAAGGATAAAGGTAAGCTTTTTCTTAGCAGAAATGACATTCCAGTGCATAGCAAAGCAGCAGATGTTGTGTTTCATACATGAAAATTCATGGGAGTATAATAACAACTGTCCTTTAGATAAGGTATTCCCCTCCCAGAGGACTTGAAGTAACTGGCTTAATCTGGCAAATTTTGGCATTAAGGAAAGGGTACCCCCTACTGGAAGTCATTACATAAATGTCCATGTGCATCATCTGTGAATTATTTATAGCAGCATACAGTTAGCAGATAGTGAATTTGGTGTTGCAGAACAAAACACAGCAGCTGTGGCTTATTTTTCAAGAGTTTACTCAGTACACAACTGCCTGTATGGGCAGCAGCAGCCACCCTTTTATGCGTGCAGCTGTAGATCTGTGCTGTACTCAGTAGTATGAGTTAATGTATACATAGCTGTACACATCAAAGCTTCATGAATGCAGATAGGTCACAGGTGCTTTTATAGCAATTCAGTTAAAATGTACTGCTAGTAGCATTGATAAACTATCTTCAAGCTATTTGGATTTTTTGGGATTTCCTTGTGTACACCTCTCATGTCTAGAGGTTAATTCCCTCCTTCTTTGCCTAGATGGGCCTATATTTCCCAAAAATACTTGGGAAGTTTCATCATGCACCAAAATAAAAACAAAAGCCAATCAACCAAACCAAAAATTACTCCCAAACTATGTGTAGAGAACTGTAACATAAGAATACAGAAGGACTGATTTACATTCTGTTTTCAATTGTTACCTGAGACCAAATGTGATCTTGGACAAAGGGATAAATAATAGCCATGTGGATTTGTCAGTAACAAATGCTGTCAAACCAAGATGCTTTAACTCTGTGACAAAATACACATCTTGTGGAAGGAATCTGTGGGAAAAGTAATAAATATTAAGCATTTTATTTTCTTTTAAGCATTGACACTGTTTCGCACTTCACTCTCACAATCAAGCTGGGGAAATATGATCAAGATAATTGTAAAAATGAGTGGAAAAAAATTCATGAGTTGTTAGTGCTTCACTGTCAAAACTGGAAAAATGTACTGACTAATGTCACACAGCTTCATTATGAACATTTTGATATTGTTCAGTATTTTCATTAATAACTTGGGCAGTAGAATACTGTATTAATGTATTTCAGTATTATAGGACAAGCAACCATGATACAGTACAACCTTGAAATTAAACATAACCTTGGAAAATAAGCCAAATACTCTAAAACCAGGATGACAGATAAAGAGCAGAATTATGAAGTCCTGTAGGATTATTCAAACACAGAAATACATGGAATTTGGTAATAGTTAAATAGAACTGTTGAAAACAGAGGTTGTTGTGGACTGCAAACTAAGCGAGACAGCAGTGCTACACTTGAAGAATGTCAAACTATACTGGAATGTATAAGTAGAATCATAGTTTATGAAACTCCTGACACAATTACTGTTACTGGAATACTATATTTAATTAAAGGCACCACACTTGAAGACATACAGGTTCTTCTTCTATGAGTCCAAAGAAGAGCAACATGGATGACCAAAGGCTTAGAAAACTCAGTATACAAGAACAATTACAGGAATTAGGATTATTTAATCTAAAGAAAACATGACTGCAGGAAAACCTGATGGAGCTATTCAATCTCATGAAAGGTTTCTACAAGTCATTCTCTCTATCCAGTCTGGATAAATGAGACTTAATTTGTTTAACTTTGCAAATAGGTGAATAATATTATTACCAATACTAATAAGCAGATACATCAGAGTGTGAAATTCTTTTCTCCCTTTCTTTAGAAAATTTTATCTCTATCTTAACAACCTGCCATGTAAACATGAAATGGTAATATGAAGGAATAGCAACTAAAGTAGTTCACATCTCAAGCTGGGAGTCTATTTAAAAATATCCTTTTCTCAAACAACCTTTGCACAACATATTTCAATGTCAGCAACTGTCCACTTCTTTTATTCACACAGACACAAATCAGTGGTGGTAGATTCCTTAAGCAGCCTCACTTAGCAGAAAGGAAGACTGTCCTCTACCACATACATCTGGAGATGCACAGGTGTCCATAGGATTAAGCCTTTTTTCTCCTCAAGGCTTCTCCACTGCACCAGTTAAATTTGTGTTAAAGAAATTACGTTTCCTGTTTTGTTTGGTATCTGATTTTGGTTTCATTGCAGGTTTATAAGTGTGCTGAGCTATAGTTGGACTATTACTTTGGCAAACTAGTAGTTTTCTTGGATTTTTCAGATCTGTGGACATTTATCCATGTTTAGAGATCAATTTGAAGAGAAGAGAAAATACAAATTTATTTTTATTTGTAGTGCATTTTGGACTAGCACAGCTTTAAAGCACACAAGACATTGAAACCCAGAGCTCAGATCAAACAAGAAAATAACACGTGAAAACAGGAGTTAGACATGTTACTGTCACAACACATTCCTATGTGGCACATGTGTGTTTACGGTGTGACATGTCTTGTGGAGCCTTAACTTTTTCTCATGTGTCCTATACATATGTAACTGAGCTCCATCTTCTCTTTTTTTTAGAGTGTATATTCCCTTTCTGCCCGTCCTACAGACATGAGCAATGCAGGGACCCAGTAACAGCCCTTCAACTTGTTGAGATTGCATGAGTGAAGCCAGAGCAGCAGATTTGTATTACCACATCTCCCAGTTGTCCTTTTTTTTTTTTTCCAGTCAGCCTCCCAGGCTGTATTCCCTGGCTGCCACCAGCACCGTCACTAATTAATTTTATTCTGTAACCCCTTCTCATGGTCAACACAGCTATGCTAGAGTCCTGTCCTTGATGCTTCTTTTTTTTGTTCTGTTCTTCAGCCTCTTTCTTGTGCCAGCTTCCTAATAGTTCCCATGTTCCATGCTTGCTTTGTTCCACTCCATGCAGATACATCCCACAACTGTTAAGTTGTCCATATCTGCAGTAGGTTAGAGATGCTAGGAACACAATTCTCAAAGTCTTCACCTAAATAAAGTTCACAGTTCAGATCATGAGCAGTTCTGGTGACAGTCAGTGATGAATCTGAAAACTCCTTTGACAGCATTTGTCAAAGCCACTTGGCCACAGTCATACAGATTTTATTACTCCTGTTTGAAAACATCAGGTGCTACTGTTGGTGCTCCATCCCTTTTCCATAAACTGTCCTGTACATGTTTGCTAGAGACCAACACTGATCTCATAACTTACTTTGAAAACTTCTTGCACTGTGAGGAGGAGTTCTGGGCCTATGGACTGCATTATCACATCTTATTACATGCTTCTGTTTTGAATATTTCTTCTAATTTCTGTATTGACAAATATTAATGTGGTTTTAAGAACTTATAAAGCATCTACAGTTATTTCAAATAAACAAAGTAAAGCTAATGACACACTTTTACACTAATAAATACAAGACTGGTGCAAGTAGTTAGAGTCTCAGGCTGTGCAGAGAAAATGAGGTTTATACATTATAAAAAGTGTGTTAAAGAAATCTACCAGTTGCTTGTTCCTTTAAGATGAAGATGCAAATAATTAATATTTGAACATACAGGTCAAATACCTGTTGCAAAATTCGTAATAAGCTTAAAACTGAAATTTCCTTTGGAACTCCAAAAAATCTCTGCAAACTCCTCAAGATGTATTGACCATACTAGTAATATATGAAACAAGTGCTGAAAATACAAGATAAAGTTGGAAACTTAAAATACTCCACTAAATATTCCATTTGTATACTCCATATTATATGTCCATTTTTTCAAATTATTCTTAAACCAAGATATTTGGGCACTTGAATTTTGCTTCAAATATGCTGTAACAATGGAAACAACAGCCCTTAATTATATTCTCCTTTAGACTGCTGCTTTCTCAGAGTAACATTGAGTACATTGAAATGTCAGACACTTGAATTCCATAAAAGTGAAGGTGAAATTAAGATGAGAGGATTGTGTATTATTCAGTGAAAGCCTGTTTTTTTTCTAGAAAGTATAGCTTGGTCTGTTTTATACAGCTGCTCAGGGCATGTCCAGTCACCTCTTCATGATGCCAGGAATTGGTTCCCAAGTTAACTAATTTAAGACTTTTCTCAGAACTACTGCTTTGAGTTAAAAAGGCAGGCAGTGTGCATGGTTACTAGTGTGGCATCATCCAGGTTTGTTAAAAAAGGCAGCTCACAGTTTTCCTTGCTGTGAGATGTCTGTGGCTAGCACCAGATGGAACATTTAGAGCTTCATAATCTTCAGTGCACGGATCTCTGTGATCACATTACTGCAGAATTCCACCTGGGTGTGCACACTTGGGAAAAGAATTTTTTTATATATAAGGATGAGGAGGTTCTGCTACAAAATCCTACTGGCACAGTATTTTAAAGTTTATATTGATATTTAAACCACTAAATTCTTCTCATATAGATTAGCTTTTTCTTACAGAGTTTATCATCATGCACAGGTAATAACCAGAATCAAATCTGGAAAGCTGCAATATGCCTTTATAATAGCTTTCATATGTGCTTTTAAAAATTAGCACAATTGGCTGGGGAGTTCTGTAGTTACCTATGTTCTCAACAGAGGCAGTAGTCAGATTGCATTCAGGATCTCCACTAAGACCATCCATCATCCTTCAGCTAAGTTCCAACCTAATATCCCTAGACTGATGCATGTAACAGACTATATGAAATTAAAAAAAAAAAAAAGAAGTAGAACAAATTTATCAATGCTAAAAACCTGGGGTTTCTGAAAACCCCAGGGTTTTAGAAAACTGTGATTAGCTGATACAAAACTGTCAAGTTCCCCTACAAAAGCAAGTGGAGATGAGATGACAAATGAGCATCCTAACCACTGTTTTTCACCCCCAGTGAGCTGCATATTCCCATTAGTGAATGGGAACCCCATAATGAAAAAAGTTTTTATTACATTTATTACAGTGTTTAACTTGTAGATTGTACTACACACTGATCAAACCAAAAGCATGTTAATTTCTTCTAAACATCACTTTTTAACATCATAGCTT